CCCCTCCCCTCCCCTCCCCTCCCTCCTTCCCGCCCTGCTTGTTATTGTTTATTTGTATTTTAATATCACTGCACGCATGCTGTCATGTTCGTGTCATGATTTTCAGACTTTCGTAATGGATTACCATTGTCAAGAGGAGCCGATCTTTTTGAGTTGCGTCGGCGACAGCATGCAATGTGGGACAAGAGAGGTATTGTGTTCTGCATGTGATAATCTATCCTGAACGTGTTCCTCCTCCATCCCATGCCTGTAATCTAATGTCAAGTTTGCACTGCATGTTTGTATTGTGTGGTTGGCTTTGTGTGGTGTGGTGTGGTGTGGCCGCTTTACATAAATAACTGATTGCCACAGTACAGTAAAAGGCAGATAGCTATAACTAGTTAAAAATATGTAAATACTATTCATCAGCTTTTATTCAAATATGTAATACTGTGGAATACTTTATTTTCGCTGGAATTAATTTTCGCTGAAAAGGCATTTTGAGTGTTTTATATGGAATTTATTTTCACTGATTTTTGATGAGTTTAATGTGAAACATAGGAAAAAAAAGTATATTCGCTGGATTTTATTTTCACGGAATCATCCTTCAGCGAAAATAGATTCCAAGCGAAAATAAAGTATTCTACAGTAGTTAGTTATTTGCTCAGGAGCTCCAAGTTGTCTATGCCCATGCCTTTACATGACATACATTTGTAGCAGCTGTTACCGCCCACTTTTTCAAACTAAAGCACTTGCTGATTGGATGATGTTAAACTAACTCTCATGAATATTAATTAGAACTTGGATGTTACGATGTCACAACCATTTTTGGATTGAATTGTTCTTAGAAAGTCAAAGAAATCTCCTGTTATTATTTATCAGATGCAGTTTCAACCAGTAACTCGGGTCATAAAATTTGTCCAGTCAAGTTTATAGTTTGCATATGTATTAGATATTCTGATTGGTTCAAGTAATTATGATCATGATTGCATAACCAATCAGGTGTAACGTCTTGAAGAATTAATCTTGTAGAGGATAAATTCCTATGAACTTTTTAACCTGCTAAACTGATGGAATTAATTACAGATTGAACTTTGTTCTTTTCATGATTAACCCTTTGATCGCTATATTATTTCTCACCAAAGTTGTGGTGCATCATTGCATATTTTGAAATAACCATTTCTTGGTTAATTTTGATCAAATGAGCATTATTTCAATACAATTGTTGGTCATTAAATGTTCACCACTTAGTTAACTTGGTCTCAGTATTACATGAATTAGAAAGTATGAATCAATAAGCAAAACTATGCACCTTTATCACTGCTAATGTGAACCGGTTTAATAATTAAGTGAAAGACAAATTTTGCTGATTTCCCAAAATTGTGTAGTAGTAAAAATTCCACTTAGAATCAGTGACGTTGGTGAAATTTACATGCATGAGAGTGATGTGTTAATATATGACTTGACATATTATGGATGCATCTAGGAGTATTTGCTCCATCACATCAGCTTAATAAGCATCAAGATCATCAAGGTTTTAGAGTGTACTTTACAAATAAAATGGTCACAAGTTGCTTTGGATGACTGCTACACGTTCCCATTGTTCACTGGTCCTAAGATGACAAACTCTCTAAATATTGGACACTGGTCTCCAGATGCCAGGTGTTGAATGCCAGATCCTAGATCCCAGATGCCAGATCCTGGTTCCTAGATGCCAGATCCTGATTTCTAGAGGCCAGATCTTGACCCCTAGATGCCAGATCCTCATCCCCGGATGCCAGATCCTGTTCCCAGACCCTGACCCCAGATCCTGGTCCCTAGATGCCATATCCTGGTCCCTAGATGACAGATTCTGGTTCCTAGATGTGGGATCCTGGTCCCTAGATGACGGATCCTGGTCCCTGGATGACAGAACCTGGTCCCAAGATGACTGAACCAGGTCCCTGGATGCCAGATCCTGATGTTGGACCCTGATCTCCAGATGTTTGACCCTAGTCATCTCTAGTTGATAGTGCTTACCGATATTTACATAACTTGTAGGAAAGTTGCATGAAGCTCAAAAATCTCCATTGCTACTTGTCTGCATGCATCTTATTCACACTGTGTCATATGCTGATTCATCAAATTATTTTTATTTTATTTATTTTATAATTTGTCAATGTTTCACTTTATTTCACCAGACATGACAGATGAGGCTGCAGTGCTTGCTAAAATTAATCCATCCTCGGTACCAGCACAGAACACATACAGAGACCCGACTTCACCCACTTGGGTGCAAACTTCTTCACCCTCACCTCCAGCACCCCCACCAAAAACTCACAATGATACAAATTACTCTGTTACGCCAGTCACTATTAATTCAACATCCACGTCAAAACCTGGTGAGTGCGATAGACTGTAGTACATTGCCGTAGCACAATAGCTGTTTTCACTGCTTCATTTCTTAGCTTCTGTTCAGCCCTGCGCATGACCCATTTCCACCTGTCGACTGCTTATGGGATTGGTTTTAGTGCTTCATTTCATAGCATTCTGTTCAGCCCTGCACATTACCCATTTCCGCCCATTGACTGCTTATGGAATTGGTTTTAGTGCTTCATTTCATAGCTTCTGTTCAGCTCTGCACATGGCCCATTTCCACCCATTGACTGCTTATGGAATTGGTTTTAGTGCTTGATTTCATAGCTTCTGTTCAGCCCTGTGCATGACCCATTTCCACCTGTCGACTGCTTATGGGATTGGTTTTAGTGCTTCATTTCATAGCATTCTGTTCAGCCCTGCACATGATTAATTTCCACCTGTCGACTGCTTATGGAATTGGTTTTAGTGCTTGATTTCATAGCTTCTGTTCAGCCCTGTGCATGACCCATTTCCACCTGTCGACTGCTTATGGGATTGGTTTTAGTGCTTCATTTCATAGCATTCTGTTCAGCCCTGCACATTACCCATTTCCGCCCATTGACTGCTTATGGAATTGGTTTTAGTGCTTGATTTCATAGCTTGTGTTCAGCCCTGTGCATGACCCATTTCCACCTGTCGACTGCTTATGGGATTGATTTTAGTGCTTCATTTCATAGCATTCTGTTCAGCCCTGCACATGACTAATTTCCACCTGTCGACTGCTTATGGGATTGGTTTCAGTGCTTGATTTCATAGCTTTCTGTTCAGCTCTGCACATGGCCCATTTCCACCCATTGACTGCTTATGGAATTCGTTTTAGTGCTTCATTTCATAGCTTTCTGTTCAGCCCTGCACATGGCCCATTTCCACCCATTGACTGCTTATGGGATTGGTTTCAGTGCTTGATTTCATAGCTTTCTGTTCAGCTCTGCACATGACCCATTTCCACCCATTGACTGCTTATGGGATTGGTTTCAGTGCTTGATTTCATAGCCTTCTGTTCAGCTCTGCACATGACCCATTTCCACCCATTGACTGCTTATGGGATTGGTTTTAGTGCTTCATTTCATAGCTTTCTGTTCAGCTCTGCACATGGCCCATTTCCACCCATTGACTGCTTATGGGATTGGTTTCAGTGCTTCATTTCATAGCTTTCTGTTCAGCTCTGCACATGACCCATTTCCACCCATTGACTTCTTATGGGATTGGTTTTAGTGCTTCATTTACTCTTTATGTGGTTATTTTTCTTTTACTAATATCTTATGTGGTTATTTTTCTTTTACTAATATCTGATTTGTAACCCTTTTCATCCCCTCCGAGGGATGTTGTGTGTTAATAAATAAATAAA